CGGCATCCGATTGAGGAGATGGACAGCTGTAGTCACACTATTGTCCCAAAATCTCTGAGGCACATGACTTTCAATCAATAGAGCTCGAGCTATCTCAAGGATATGTCTATTCTTTCTCTCTGCCACACCATTCTGCTGAGGTGTTTGAGAGCAGGATGACTCATGGATCATGCCATGTTGTTGAAAATACTCCTTAAGGTATTCATTCATGTACTCTCCACCATTATCACTTCTTAGAACTTTGATCTGTCCATTAAATTGGGTCTGTAACATAATATGAAAATTTCTAAATATCTTGGCTACCTCATTCTTACTTTTCATCAAGAAAAGCCATGTCATTCTAGTACAGTCATCAACAAATATCACAAACCACCTACAACCCGAAACAGCAGTAATAGGAGATGGACCCCAAACCCGAAACAGCAGTAATAGGAGATGGACCCCAAACATCTGAATGTATCAAAGAGAAAGGAGCTTCACTTTTATTCAAACTTATAGGAAAAGGAACTCTATGGCTCTTAGCCAATATACAAGTCTAACATTGCAAATCTAAATCCTTCAAATTCAAAAACAATTCAGGAAATAATCGCTTCAAATAACCAAATGACGGATGTCCCAACCGTCAATGCCAAAGCCAAATCTGTTTTTCTCTACTGATGGATGTACCGCTAGCATGATTTGCACTCCCTGAACTGAAGTCATCCATATAATACAGCCCCCCTCTCTTAGTACCACGCCCAATTATCTCCTTCGTGAGAATATCCTGAAACAAACAAAAGTGAGGATACATTATAACAGCACAATTCAAATCTTCAGTAACTTGTCCTACCGAAATCAATTTGGTCGATAATGAAGGGACAAGCAAGATGTTAGGAAGAGAAAAAACAGGAGAAATTGCAACAACTCCAGCCCCAGTCACAGGATAGGTGTATCCATTAGCATTTGAGATACTCTCACGTCTTGGTTCTGAAGTATGAACAAAGTCATCAGGAGTAAATGTCATGTGATCAGTAGCTCCCGAATCAATAACCCAGTGATTGCAATCAATCTGATTAGAACTAACCAAAGCACTTCCATGGTTACCTCCTGACATCAAATTCTGAGGATCAACGTGAGGTATCAGTGATAGCTGAGGATCAACGTGAGGTATCAGTGATAGCTGAGGCTCAGCAGTCGCTAAAGAAGCTTTCCCTTTTCCTTCTGCTTGCTTTCGAGCTTTCAACTCTTTCCACCAATCTGGATACCCATGAAGCTTAAAGCACGTCTCCCTGGTATGCTTAGAATTACCACAATTCGAGCAACCTCCCCCCGGAGAAATTTTATGGCGTATTGCCGAGCTAGGCTTTCCCCTTTCCTGCGTAACTCCTGGCTTCGCTATTTGCAACAGCGGTTCTTGATTTGCTTTGACATTCGTCCTATTCCCTCGAGATACCATGGCTGTCGAATGATGTACTGTGTCACTGTTGGTAAGCATTACAGTTTGTCTCATGTCTTCTCGACGGACACGCGCATAGGCTTCTTCAATAGTAGGAAACGGCTGCATCTGCAAAACATCTGCTCTGACCTTGTCAAGACGGTCGTCCAACCCATCAAGAAATATGTATACCCGATCTTCTTGTATAGCCATATTGTATCTTTCAATATCTTCAGGATACCGCATTGGGTTCGGACGGCGAAAATCGATTTCTCTCCACAAGCCTTGAAGATTGTTGTAGTACGCCTCAATTGGTCCTCCTCCTTGTCGCATCCGAGCAACACGCCTCTTCAAGTCATAAACCTGAGAGGCATCCGTTCCGTCAAAGAAAGTCGTTGCAACTGCATCCCAGACAGATTTCGCTGTTGGGAAGCGAATGAAATTGCCGATCAACGCCGAATCCATGGAGTTGATAAGCCATCCTTTCACAGTCGAGTCTTCTGTTTTCCACCTCTGAAAGCCAGGATCTGTAGGCAGTGGCTGAGGAAGGTCTCCATTGATATATCCCAGTTTATCTTTACCAGTGATATACATCTCGACAACCTGAGACCATAATCCATAGTTGGCTCCATCCAATTTAATTGCAATCTGAGATGAAGCCAAATCATTCTGCGGTGTTGGTGATGGAGGAGGAGGGTGCGTCTGGTTCTGAGTGAGAATCTGAGATAATCTGGCAGTCAGATTCTCCAAAAGAGCTTCCGTGGTCGAATTCCCCCCTTGGTTCTGATGGGGAATCATCGCTCCGGTAGGGTTCTGATCCTCCATGGATCCAAAATTGATCGTGACAAAGATGAAGAAGATCGAGTAGCACGCACGCCGAACAGCGCAATAGAGAAAGCGAGCCAAAAAAAAAAGAGCAAACCCTTGGCTCTGATACCATGTTAACACAATAGAGAAAGCGGGACCGCCGTAATCGAGGATTCACGTACAGTACTCACAAAGAGCAAACCCTTGGCTCTGATACCATGTTAACACAAAAGATATTTCGAGGAAGAAAACCACATTCCTCACTTTTCTGTATTTCTTCTTCATTCTTTTACAATGACCTAGAGGCGTATATATATACAAAGAAAGAAAGAATCTTAAAAAATATATCCTCTAAACTAGCTAACTATAATCCTTGATTCTAGCTAATTACAATCATAAATATATTTTACAGCTCATTCTCACAATTTTCACCCAAATGTTCGCTCACTTTTGTACACAGGATATTGATGATTCTGCATAATTTGAGAGAAATGAACAACATTCCAAGAAAAAACTAATTTTTACCATTACAACTCCCATGTAAGTGGGAGAGATAATGATTCGTGAAATTTGCCCTTTTCTGTATACGATAATATCTATGTGCCTCTTTTTTGCTGGTTCACTTATGTTTATAATCAGGTTGAATCTAGATATATGCTTCCTATTCTGATATTTAGTACTTACTCTAAATTGTTCGCTCATGTTGCTATTTGTTGCTTTGGAATTATCAGGGAACGGACAACATTGTAGCCCTCAGACTTGCCGACGGGCATAATTTTACGAGTGACGAATTTTCAAGACTTCCCAGTTTAAGGTTCCTTGAATTAGATGGGGGAAACTTTGTCGGAGACTTCAAAAATCTTCTCTCTAATCTAACATGGCTCTCTTGGCGTCATTGCCCTTCAAATCTACAAGCCAGTAGTTTATGTCTAAGGAAATTGGCGGTTCTCAAGCTATCAGAGAGCGGTATTACTGAAGACTGGAATGGATGGGGACCATGCATGGTACAATTTCATATAAACATTTTGTTTTTCTTTGTTTGTGCGCACATTTGTCACATTATGTTGACCCTCACCTATGCCAATGTTTTTTTTTTTCCAATAATTGGTTGTTTCACAGGTGAACAATAACCTGAAAGTTATATATCGGACAAGCTGCAATCGCTTAAAAAGGACCCCTGACTTCTCTAAGTGCTTGAATATGAAAAGATTGGTTATTGAAGATTGTATATTATTGAAAGAAACCAATAGCTCTATCGGTCAGCTAGGGCACCTAAAGTACTTGGAAATAAGTAGGGAGGATTGTCATTGGCTCAATGAGAGTGCCCGTATCAACGATTTTGTCGTTCCTCTATTACCAGACTCGATTGGTGGTCTGAAATCCTTGTCAGTGCTGAACATAGAAAATCGGGATGATGTTAGAGAACTTCCGCACTCAATAGGGAAGCTACTGGGTTTGAAGCATCTGTCTCTACGTGATTGTATCGAGCTTAGAAAGCTTCCAGATTCTATTGGAGAGTTGAGATCGCTCCTCTATTTAAATTTATCCGAGACTGCTATGAGGGCATTACCAGATTCCATCGGAAGACTAGAGTCGCTACTCAAAATGGATTTATCTCGAACAAGTCTTGCAGAATTACCAAATTCTATAGGCAACCTTAGATGGTTGAAGTTCATGTGTTTGAATTGGACTGAGATAAGAGACCTACCGAACAGCATATGGACTCTGGAGAATCTTGAGGAGTTGACTGCCAAAAGCTGTCAAAATCTTGAGGGGGAAATTCCAAGTCAAATCGCGGGACTATCCCAATTGAAGATTCTGAACTTGTCTCGGAGCAAGGTTAGTAGACTGCCAATGACAATAAATCAGCTCTCTAATCTCCGAGAACTTGTTTTATCGGATTGTGCCAAGCTTCGGTCGCTACCAGATCTCCCGACAAGTTTGACAAAGCTAGAGTTGTCCTCTTCATTGTTGAAGGAAGTACCCGACCTCTCGAAACTCACTAATCTACTTCATCTGGACATAAGTGATTGCACTTTTGACTTTAAGTTTTTCAAAACAATACAAGGACGGGTTGCAAATCTGAACCTAGAATGGCTTGGTAGGCTACATGAATTGCAGATTTTGAGACTGGTTCTTTTCGATTCCAACTTGCCTCCGACTAACTTGAGCTCCCTTACTCAGCTCCGGTCACTTGAAATAACTTGTTCCAACCCACGGTCTCTGACACAGCTTCCGTCCAATTTAGAAGTCTTGAGCTTAGAAGATGTGAAGACCCCAATAGAATGGCCTATGTTCTCCAACCTGGGAAATTTGTGCGAATTAAAGCTCTATGGCTGTCAGTTAAGAGAGATTGAGTTTGACAATGTGCTTGGACAGCTAGAGAATCTCCAGCGACTGCAGGTGCGCAAGTGCGAGTCGCTTGTGAGGCTATCCAATCTATCGAGCTTAAAGGAGCTCCGAGTGCTGAGTGTGGAGTACTGCCCGAAACTAACCGAGATCGAATCCCAACCATCTTCAACTGGAGAATGTAGTTCCACGGAGAGGCCCATTCCTGATTCACTGAAGCTAGAGAAGCTCGAGTCTTTTAGAGTCTACTATTGCGAATCAGTGCGAAAGTTGCCTGCTATACCAAATGCATGTTGTGTCGAGGTTTACCCACCAAAATACGTAAGAAGGTCTGAAAGTGGGCCCGTCTTCATAGAAGATCTCGCTAATTCCACAGAAGATTCGGACATGGAGATTATGTCTGAAGGCGAACTCCGGCCACAAAATTCCCAAAATTCCGAAGAAGAGTTCTTTGAAGAATTGTTTAGCCAACGAGATCTCAGCCCACTGAGGACCCCTCCTGAAAAAGAAGGCCCAAGACATCTTAGCCCACTTAGCTTAGCGCATCTTCTTGGTTCCTTCTGGAGCTGGTTGATAGGAAAAATAAAGAGCAGAAAAGGAGAGGAGTAAGTCGGCAAAAGAAAGAGAAAACGGAAAAGGAGGGGAGTGAGTCGGCGCTTTTCGTGCGATTCGGAGGCCTCGACAAGCTAGATTAATACCGTTTCGAAGCGCTCGGTAAGGATTCGAAACTTTAATTCATCTAATCAAATCAAGAGATTTGCTCAGTTAAGCTGTGATTTTGGATCAGTTCGGGTATTAGTTTGCTAGGTTGATTCTAGAGATCGTTGATCCGTGAAATGATGCTGTTTTGAAACCTTAGGTTGTCTTGGAATCGTCAGATTTTACGGATTTCCGTTTGAGAGAGATTGATTTTCCGGAGTTCTCGAAAACCAATTTAGAGTAACTGCAACCAGCAGTGTTTCGTCCAGGATTTCATCAGTTGTCGGCCAATTTTTGGTTCTAAGGAGTTTTAAATCTTTTAGTACTTTGAATGAGCTCTCGTTTGACTGTAAACTACTTGAAACGGAGTTCGGTAGATATATTTGAGCCCCCGTAGTTCGCAGCATAAGACAAGGTTGCTGCTCTGTTTGCTGTAGCAAGTTTCATGCTTGTGTGGCCTTTTTCCGCTAAGAACTACCGTAGAGCAGTTTATGAATGTCTTCGTGGTGGACTTTGTCGACTCATAGTGGACGTTTTGACCCCAAAAATTAGCGTCGCCTGGTAGAATCTTAGTTGAGGTTAGTGATATGTAACTTTGACATTTGGTTAATGTTTTCTTTGATAGAAGTTTGAAGCTTTTCGGGCGGTATAGCTTTTAATTTGGCTTTTGGCTAGCGAGAAGTGGTGCTTATCTCTTCTAAGATTTGTAAATACACTGCTTGAAAATCATAGTAATTAGATATGCTATAAGTTATGAATGAGACATTGCACGTTTTGATATTTATTATAAATAATGGTGTTTAGAACATCTTTGTTGCATAAAGCTGGATCGGACATTTGCTACCCATTTGTTTTTCTTGAAATAGCATAGCAAAATATCTCTTGAAATAGTTTGAGAGTTGATTATTTATGAAATGGTTTGAGAAATTTTTCATGAATGTGTTCTTCTTGTGGACAGAATTGAGAAGGGTTGTATCAATTTGTAAATCCGGTTTATTAGTGGAGACCTATGCCAAGGAGGGAATCTTGGTAAGCCACCGGCTGACATTAGTGGAGACCTATGCCAAGGAGGGAATCTTGGTAAGCCCTCTCATGGGGCGTTAAATGTGGCTATAGTTTGATCTGAAGTAATAGAGTGATCAATTGACTAGACCACTGATGTTTGCTTCGATATTGTTGATCGAATGAGTGTTTCTATTATGTGTAAAAGGTTGTTGAAGTGATGTAACTAATATTTAGACTTTTACATATATTATATACTGGATTTGGTTGTGTTTCTGTTATTGTTTAAAAATGTGCATAGTTTTTTTTGGTAAGGTAAAATGTGCATAGTTGATGCTCGATTTGTTGAGAAAAAATATATGTACTATTTATTGAGCGGTGGTTTGCTTATAGCATTCATCTCATCTCAATTCTTTTTCAGCTGCCAACAAATAGGAGGAGAGCAATATCAGTGGAGGAATCTTAGGAGTTTGGATTTTGGGTATAAGTTGAGATAATTATAGAACTTTAGTTCTGCAACCAGCTTATTATTCTTATGAGATATTAATGGATATATATTTTGATAACAAGTTAATGTTGGTTACGCTTATGAGATTGCATCCTTTGGATAGAAGGATAACTGTGCCATTTTCCTTATGTATGTAGGGTTGGGGTGCGATGGTTTTATCAATTTGTTGTTTTAAGCTTTGTTCAGATACATCAAGCTGTACGAGTGGTCATAGTTCGGACTATGATACCGCAGATAGTGCAAGTCAAAAGGTTGTGTAAGAGGATAATATTGCTTTGGCTCAGCGTTATTTGCTTCAGCTTTTGCTCTTCCCCTATATGCTCTAATTTTTACATTCGATTTTCTGTTACTGTATTTTGAACACCCAAAACTAGTAAGTAAGCGAAAACTTGGAAGGCAATTCATCTAACGGTTTTAATTTTTTTGTTCTTAAGGTTTTTGGGAATATATATGATATGGAGTGCAACTCAAAATGTCCATACCTTTGGCAATTCAAATTGGGGCATAACCTTAATGGTCGAAAGCAAAAATGTTTTATTCTTATATGAGATTCACTTAGCTATCGAAGTAGATTTGCTACTGAAAAGAGGAGGAAATGAAAATGATATTCATAGTGATTTTTCTTTCTCACAGGAAAACTACCTCACCTAAGAAGTATGACCCGTAATTTCAGCCAATTCATTTCCAGAAGTAACCTGCAATACAATCCGACACATATATGCTCACTTTAGGATAACCATTGTGCATCGGGTTCAATGTGCTTTAGTCAAATTTAGGCATTGACAGCTCCATAGGTTTGATGTGCTTCAATAATAAGCACAGAACAAACATTGATTTCGTGTACCTTAACCCACTCTCTGTGCTTTTCATTTTGCTTGCCACTTCTTTTTATTCCTGTCATGAATATCTCATATACAATCTTACATTTGTACGTATTTATTCTGAAAAGATCGGGAAGTACTGCTAGGCTTAATCACGTAGGTTCACTTTCATTGACCCTTCACGCCCATGCTGCGCATAAGTTGTAAGACAACTGAGGTATTGGTTGCTTCGATCCATGTCCTAGTTGTTACAGTTTAAACATTGTGCCTAGTTTGTTGAAAAATCTGAACTACTGTTCCTGCACATTTAACTCTGCCGGACAAGTATCATCTGCTTCCAATCAATTCGTCGACGGCCCTATTTCAGGAAAGTGATATTGCGCTGCGAGGACTCTTTAATGCTTTTTTCCACTGACTTCAAGGAAGCAAGTGTCAAATCTTCTTGCAACTCATCTATTTGCACTCACCGGGGTAAGTTTACAGAAGAGTCATGCTGTTTGTAAAAAGTTCGAAACACCTTAGTGTTTTGCAGTACTTGATACAGAGAGGTATCAGCAGATTGAGTTTGGCGAACTTCTGTAATTACTGAGACCCTTCTGTTCCGAAATTCTTTTCAAGTGTTCGGAACTTCAACGATGTATGTGCTTTACCATCAAGATAGTTCTTATGGCTCTGAATTTCGGCGATAAATGGTAACTCCATGTCGTGTAGTATCTTAGTTTAGCGCAGTACCTGGAGCGAACTACTTTCCAAGTATAAAAATGACTGGGTTACCGGTAGTCATCTTCAATGACCCGATCATCGGTGTCGACTCCGACTCGGAAGTTGCCTTGGTTGTCAAGTTCGATACGATTTCCTCAAAGATCTCGCTTTAAAGGTCCGGACGGAGCTCCCAAATGCACCAACTGTGGACATACAGCTCTTGCGATCGCACACCACCGGCCATGGATTTGGGCCAATGTTGGCCTAATTCCAAAAAAAAAAAGCACCAACTGTACCATGAGTGACGATTTCTAGCCTCAATTATTTTTTGTCTAATAAAAAATCACCAACTTTCACTTAAATCTCAAATCTGTCCCAAATAATTTAAAAATTTTACATCACGGGGGCCAAATTTGGGACTCGAGTAAAAGTTGGTACTTTTTATTGAGACAAAAAAAATTTGGGACAAAATTATCACTCAAGGTAAAGTTGGTATTTGTTTTTTGGAATTAGCTTGCCTACGTCTAGTGCGCTCGAGATCCAAGTTGGTGAAGTAGTACCTCTTCGATACACCATTTGTCACGCCCCGACCCTCGAGCGCGCTAACATCCCACTAAGGTCGTTATAAATGCAACATCCCAGGATGCATCGCCGACTCAATCAAATTACTAATGATTAAACGCATGCGGAAGCGAACTAAAAACTCACAATCACAACAACAGGAATAGTCAGGAAAACACACCCCAATTTAAACAACATCATCAGCAATACATCGGGTTAATATATTACAAGTCCGCCACGCGAACCTTCCCGATTACAACCAGAACAGGTAGAGATTAACCTAGCTCCTCTATCTACGAGGATAACCTCAAAAGGTGTTCTCCCTCAAAAAGCTAGTTCCCAAGAAACGGTACGTGTACTCATATTGGATGACCTAAAAAGTGGTTAACAACAACGGGTGAGATAAATCTCAGTGAGTTCACGACCTAAGCCTTGACTATGAGGTCAACTCATCTCGGATGTACCTAACCCATGCAACGATACATCGATGGCAGACAATTCAATATAGAACATACAGGTACTTCACAACACAATCACAGGCAGCCTTACTTTGCCTTGGCACATGCACACGCCCTATACGTTATAATTCACCGTATGCCATGATAATACAATAAGCATATAATGCAATCAGAATACGCATCAACCTTCTCAAGCATAATGCATTCACACGTGTCCTGATTATAAAGTGAAACCGCTTCGGCCCGTCTCATACCGTGCCTAGTAATTTCATCCCATAATCAAGCGCAATGCCACCACATTCTTTCACGCGTATTCCAATTACTATAGCCACACCAGGGGCTACGGCACAACCCGCGATATTCGCCTCAGGTTGGCAATCTTCCGGTTTATCCGGGCATCGTCCCGCCCCATCGGGCACGGCATCGTCTCACCCGACCACAATGACGGCATATCCCATAAATCATTCCGAATCCGATTCGTTAATGACTACGTCTCCCCTGCTACCAGCGACGGCTTCCAATTACCAAATTGGAGTCACCCGTTAGGGCCACGACCAAACCCTAGGTTGGCGGTCATTCGGTATACGGTTTTCCGATATAACCGGGCACAAAAGGAATCTTTAGGTGATCATGCACACATAGCAACACTCAGGTTCCATCATTATAATTTTCAATAGCCGATGCAAACATAATCCGTGCTAATACGTTGAAATATCCAACTTCCACATATAAAAATGTACTAAAATATTCACACGTGATTATGCACATATCAATAAATTCCCAAACTTGGCATGCTTCTATATTCAAGTATCCACAACATATTTCTCACATAAAACTTAACAAATAAACCCGACACCTCAGGGTTTATTTGTCACGCCCCGTACCCCACGAAGCGCGAGCATCCCATCTCCGGTCGTTTGTGATGCAACGCTCCCAGGATGCGTCGCCGACCCAACGCTCAACAGAGAACAAGCACAAGCGGAAGCAATTAAATAAACAACCCTGACAATTATAAAATACGAGCCAAGGATAGCCAAGCAATAAACACGATCACAGCAGAAAATAGGTACATACTTACATTACTATAGAAAACCTTTTTACAATACCCATCAAACAACCAAAGCGAGCAGTACAAACAGTCAACAGCCACTGGGTCAAAAGGGTAAGTGGCTAGGGTGCTCTTAGGGATCCCAGTTAGGATATGAGGATTCCGAGGATTCATCCGACTGCTCCTCTGACTCCATATCTGCTGCTCCGTCTCCACAGGGGTGCATGCTCAACGACCGCTGAATGCGATGCGGTATCCCAGAAAGAGGTGGTGATCTTGGCATTCTACGGTTGGGGGTCTAAAATGTTTCGGTTTACACAACCATGAGACGAATCTCAGTGAGTTCAACCCCTAAACCTAGGCTAGGCTAGCATGCAATCTCCTGACCGGAAATAAACACTCAAAGTATAACACAACAATGATCACACAAGTCTCTGACCCTGCAGGTTAGATAGTTCAACATCTAATAATCACGGCACATACGTGGCACACATAGTCACACGTATGCCAAACACATGCTCCTGCATCGAGTCTCACACACTCGCACGCTAATCCATGCATTTTTATGCATGCAAATGTCGTCAGCATGTCATATGCATTTTCCGGCCCACTGGCCCACACTGGCACACTGGCAATCGCCCGATTTATTATTTATTACGACTCGAGTCGACAATATTCACAGCCCGGTGCGTCTAGCCTGCTTCAAAGTGCATGAGGCGCAGCAACCGATCTGGCCCAGTGTCTCTAGCCTGCTTCAAAGTGCATGAGGCGCAACACTGATCTCCTTACGAACCAGAGCTTGCTTCAAAGTGCATGAGGATGGTCGTCTTCCGAACGTACCGGGCATCGTCCTGCTTCAAAGTGCATGAGGACGGTCACGACCCGAAGGTCACGACCCGAAGGCCCTTAGGTGATCACACAACCCATTATTATCTAAAACCCGCGTAACACGCATCAGGGTATTTTAGGTGATCACATGCTCATGACAGGCACGTAGTCTCACACAATTTCATCACAAACCTCATTCTCAGCATTCATAATGCGTGCCATGAAATGCAACATGAGCATCCACATAACATAGGCACAGGCACACAGTTCAATCAAAGTCATTCCACAGTGCCTAATTCACAAGCCACGTGCTTACTTGGCCTATTAATACAGTGCGGCCAAATTCCAAATACACAATTCAAGCCATCAATTGGCCAATCACACTCCGCACGATTCAGCCACACAAGCACGCAATATAGCATTTCGCAATTAAACACAATTGATCATCAATCAATCAACAGCCAATCATTCTGGGTAATCCCGGCCATTCAGCTAATAATTCTTGATGTCCATTATAATCCGGTACATTCCTAAAAAATATGGACAGTAGCTATTTCCTCAATCCGGGCCCAATAATTGTCCATAATAATCCCACTAAATTCCTCGGATTTTATTTCCACTAATCAGTCCTCAATCCAGTCCGAATTATACACCGATAATACCT